GGCGCCGTCCGCCCGACGCCCGGCGGCGCGGCGCCTGACGGCCAGCGGAGCCCGACGATCGGTGGGTGGGAGGACGATGCTGCAGGGGGCGGCGGCGTCGGGATCAGGGGCGGCGCGGCGCCCATGGAATACGAAGGGGCGCCCGAGTGGCAGGAGGAGGCGGATGCAGCCTTCTGACCGCGGCCGCGCGGCGGCGCCGAATACACATGCGCGCGCCCTCACGGGCTCGGAATGGGGCAGGCCGCAATGGTGGTGCTGCGGGCTGAGTGAGCTGGGGCCAGGGCCTGCCTGGTCCCTGTTGAGTTGAGGGGCCCGACCTGTAGGGCCTGAAGGTTGCTGGGCGCTCCTGTGCCCGTTTTTCAATGGACAGTCACGTAGGTAGCTCATGTAATAGGTCCGTCCGGCGGCTGGCGGGCTCAGTGAGCCAGACATCCAGTCAGGTGTGAAACAGGCATCGGCAACGGTTTGTTACGGGGCTGCATGCCCCTGTTCAGCTGTACCCTCCGTCGTGTGCATACTGCGCGCCAGAGTTGCCGGTCAGAATATGCGTGCGCCAGCAGCAGGGCGCCGCCCATGGGGCGGAATCCAGGGAATAATATCTGTGGGCTTGGGCCACCACACAGGGATGAGTTTGGCATCATGCACGCTCCCTCGCGGCACGCGCAGCGCCTCCGCACACAAGCCTTCCTTACCTGCGCACAGCGTCGGCCGGCTGGAGCAGCACCTGAGGTCGCAGCGCGGCGGTGCGGCGGGGGCAGGCCGGCGAGTGCCACGGGTGTGTTGACCCCGGAATGATGAACACTCGTGGAGTGACCTTTTGTGTGACAGTCTCGCCCAGCTCGCGTTGATATAAGTTGCAACCTCTCGTATCCATCAGCACTCCTCTTCAACATTCGCGGACCTCATTCGCCCCTCATTCGGCACTGGAGAAAACGCACTCGGCAGGCTTCGCCTCATTGACAAGACAATGGCCCCAAAACCCGTGATCCTGTACGGTTCGCCGCGATCGGGCAACTCACAGAAGGTGATCAGGCCGCCCGCCACCGCTTACAAGCGCGGCCCAGCCCCGCGCAGTGCAGCGGGACATGATGTTGCCACGGTCGGCGCCCATGGCGGCCTCATAAGTGGCATCAAATCGCGCCGTAGCGATAGACGCGCGTGGAGCATGCACGCCCTCACATACGAGCCCCGTGCCCGATCCAGGAGGCGTCTTTCGTGAAAGACACCCTTGGCCGGCCCCTCAGCGGCAGCCTCTCCCAGGCTGACGCCCAGACCCCGCCGCCGCGCCGCCCCCCTCGGTCCCCAGGCGATCCTCATGTGCCACCTGCTGGGCCTGCCCTTTGAGCTGCGCACCCTGAACGGCCTGGCGGGCCCCGGCGCAGAGGCCAAGCAGGCGCCCTTCCTGCGCCTGAACCCCCTTGGCCAGGTGCGCGCCGCCTTGTAAGTGGGGGGCTTACTATGGAATCAGATTGGCAAAACGCGGACGACCCGACGCCGTGCAGTGAAGCTGTGGGATCTGTGCTGTTTTGGATAGAAGGGAATCAGAAACTGACGCGCAGAGGCGCCGTGAAGCGCGGCTGCCTGCTGGTGCGCTCACGCGCAGCTCATGACAACCAACACAATAGCCCAAAACACCCGCCCGCGCACCAGCTCGCACACCCTCTCAGCCCCAGCGGCCGTGCACACACAATCTTAACCCCATGCGCACGAATGCGCGCACACACTTACACACGCACATCCACATCCACCTGAGCACGCACATGTACATCCGCACACCTTTGAATGCTGGCAGGTACGCACACCCCCCCCCCCCC